GTTCACGATCACCATCACCAACAGTAAAGCTCGCAGCATACCTGAGAATGTCAGGTCTCTTCATAGCGACATGTTTAGCAGATGTCCACACGTGAAACAATGTCGAATCACGAACGAACAAATGGTCAATGGCAAAGGCATGACGAGTCTCCGAGCATTCACCTTCATCCTTTGCGTATGTTGCAAGAACATGGTCAGCAACTCGTACTAGCAGATGACACACCTGACATTCGTGAGTCTTGTGATCAGCCGATCCGTTAAGACTCTTTGCAACGTGAAACCATCTCTCGTAAAGGGAATTCATTTCCTAGAATGCGAAGACACGAGGCAACTGATCAATACTGTATCGGGTGAAGGAATGACTCGACTGCATGTCAAGCATGCATATTTATACAAGTCAGAATGGGGTGGGTTGAAAATGCAAAGTTGACAACCAATCACCATCAAGCCCGCCAAAAACAGATGATGTAACCTTGACATGATTGATCTTGTCATGAATGACGCATTCATTGATGGTGTTCACATGAGATCACCCTGGCTCATCTTTCCCAATTCCATTCTTTTCACATCCTGCAACCCATTCTCCACTAGTAGTAGCAGTGGGGATACTAGAGTCCGAAGAGGCAAGGCAGCACTCTTCCGTGGACGTACTACTCGACACAACACCACCCATACTTGTTCTTTAGAAGTTTTTTTTTTTTAATGAGTATCATGAGGTATTGACGTAGAAAGTAGTATAGGATAGTATAGGATAGAATAAGAATGAATGATCAGCTGTGTGATAAAGAAGGCAGTTCATTAAAGACTTATTGGAAGGTCTCTACCAGCTGATCGTCTTGTTGGACGACGACACTGCATAATGATGTGAAGCTCTCAGTCAGCTGTTTCAGCTCCGTGATAGAAAGTGCCATGTGTGCGTCCAGAGCACGATGAAAACATCTGGGTTCCACGTTGATGCAGATGATTGGAGCAACAGCAAGACGTACCTTCATCACTTGCTCGTCAGTGTCTAGGGAGACTGCCCCGGGGTAGATGAATACATCTTGTTCCACATCCAGTTCAAACGAGCTGGTCGGGACTAGCTTGTTTTCACCGTTGATGTACACCCGACATTGACCGTCGGACAAACGTGATGTATAGAAGTTGGTTATGATCTTCTCCACACGTCCACTTCGGAGAGTGTCACGGAGCGATGGACAAGTCTTGATCAAGTTCGTAATGATGAACTCAGTGGACTCGTTCAGTTCGATGTAAACTTGTCCTTGAGCATCTTTTCGAGCTGTTGCCGTACTACCACAGGCTGGCAGAGCTCCCGAAGGGAAGTACATCTTATATCCAGGCTTGTAGAAGGATTTACCAGATAACTTGTAGGGCAGCTGCATGTCCTCCTGAAACCCATCCACCACAATCCCTTTGTGGAGCTTGGTAGGAGCAGGTGATGCATAGCGACGCTTAGCCGGTACTGGCTTCGAAGAGAGCACAACTCGAGGAGGGTCAGCAGGAAGAGCGGAATTCTTCTTCATCCTTCGCTCGTATAGGGAAGCCATCTTCTAGGAAGTGAAGTCAGGACAACTCGTCAGCACTGTATTCGATGAACGAATGACTCAACTGCAGACAATCATTCGTATTTATACGAGCCAGAGAGGTATGTGGATTGAAATGAGAAGATATGTGTCAACCAATCAAGCCCGCCAAAAACATTTCACCAATCAGCATCAAGCCCGCCAAAAACATTTGACCAATCAGCATCGTGCCCGCCAAAATCATATCTCATTATAAAGATTCCTTACATGATACCGCCACCTTGGTGAATTGATACAGTATGGAAAGAAGATCACAGTCAAACGTGTGCATGTTCTGGATCACGTGATCAAGTGAATAGATTTCCCAGCAATAAGCATCAATCAATGATGTCATAAGAGATATATCAGATTGAGATAAAAGCAGCAAATTCGAACGCAACGTGGACAATTGCAATGAAGACACCATCCTAGTCGACTCCATGAGATGCAGTACGTATAGGAGTGGAAAATGCTGAGGAAGAGGTTTCATGATTCGACTGAACCTCAACCAGGCTACATTGCTATGAGGTAAGTAGGAATACAGTTTACGTAATGCATCCACATTCGTATCGTATACTATACAGGATAATGCTATAGCATAATTTATACTCTTGTACAAACAGGACTTCTTCATCGCACGTATCTGCTCTCGAAGAGGGTGTACACGAAGCTGATCGGATAAGAGTTCAGTTTTCGAAAGAAAATGCAAAAGATGACGATCCACACCACATAACCGCTCATGCGCAGCGTAAGGCTTCTTCATCAAACTACATCTCTGATGCACATCAACTTCAGGTAAGTAAACCACATCCATGACAAGTCCACAAGAAGAACATACGTATCTTCCTTCATGAACAACATGATCAAGATGATGACACTGCTTTTCCTTCCCTTCTTGCTCTTCTTCTTCTTCTCCTCCTTCTTGTTCTTCTTCTTCTTCTTGTTCTTCTTCTTCTTCACGAAGTCTCTTTTCACGTACATAGGCACGTAAGATCTCTAATTCAGAATCCATCTTCACCCCACACCATCATCTTCATAGTGAAACATTATCCATCAATATATCTACTTTTATACCCACTCCTATCCGGGGATAATAGCAAAATACTCCTGAAAAAATAAATAAAAAATGAACAGAATAAAGATTAACAATGACGATAAGTGTGCCTTATTCAACCCAAAGGTCAAAGGTCAAACCCTGGGGGGGGGGGAGTCCCGGGGTCAGACTAAGCACGACCGACACAGTGTGCCTTATTTGGCCCAAAGGTCAAAACAATAGAAGAAAGGCATTCACATCTCAATCTGATATCATAGTCGAAAGATTCCAAACCCGAACAAAAAAGACTCACCATGACGGGGGCGTCTTTCCGCTTTCGAAACACATCGTGTTCTCCAAGGTCGTCACCTCCCCGTGGCGTGACCCCTTGGTCTTGTTTGAGACGTCTAGACGTAGCCTTGTTTACAAAGGTCATCGCGGCGTGAACTTTGACCTCGAGGTGAAGTAGTCTCAACCTGCAGTTTCATTATCGACTCCTTCTTGCAGTGTGAAGAAGCTAAAATGGCGTGGACATTTTCTGAGACGTGCAGAGCAGAGAAATGGTATTTATTTTCATGCGATAATGAAGAGTTCTCAATCCGTCGCCTCAGTGCTAGCAAGACAACCAGGGATCTTGACCCGATGATAGCACATCCCAGAAGATTCGATATGTCACCACTCACTGCTGCTGAGTATATTATCTGCAGGGTCACCAGTCTGATCTTGAATGTGAAGAATAGGAAACAGCACCTTCCTAAAATCGTCATCGGTGGTGTGGAGGACTACGGAACTATTAGTGAGACTGATGATGGTGTCATACTGCGAAGGTGGACTGATGGTAGACACTCATTCTACAAGCTTAGTGACATGCGTGACGAACCGTGCTCTCAACACATCATCGACCTCTTCGCTGATGCAACCTATTTGGATTCCAGCGACGTAATGCAACTTGTCAAGGAGGTGAACGAAAAATGAAGTCTCTCGAGTTGATCGTGTGCGTGTACGACGTAGTACCAAGGCCGTTCAACTCCGTGCCGTTGCAACAAGAGTAACGCGGATTCGTGTGCGAGTTGGTACGATCGACATCGGCGACGATGGATTTATCTCCAAATTACCCGAGTCGACTGTTGACACGATGGCGGTGCAAAGGAGGTCGTCGACTGACAGTTCCATTGCTGACTGGGTGGAACCATTGGTGCACATCAGAGCGTCCGACAACTCCACCTCGTACTGCGTGTCACGGAAGAGATCATGGGTGAATCCATCCTCACACGTATTCGAAGAGTAAACTTTGTGGCCTCTCATCCAATACCAGCTTGATGAAATCAGGACAACAAGAACTGAATTGTACTACCTTTCTCCTCCACTCCATTGCGATATTCACTGTTCGTTCCATTATTCTTTGTAATAACATATATCGTATCTATCAAGAACTGACCTTTCTGACGTGTGTGCGAGCAGGACCATTTTTGAAAAATTGCATGGGGAGGTGGGGTAGGTCACGGAAAAAACTTCATGATAAACACCATATTCAACATTCTACTTTTTATACCCACTCCCATCCGGGGCAAGGTGGCCCAAAAAAGTGAGATTCAAACCCACATGTGCACAACACATATTTTCAATAATACCCCATTTTTTTGAGGTAGGGGCACCCCCTGGCACATATTTTTATCCGCAAAAAAACCGGGCCAAAAATAATTTTCACCGCAAAAATGGGGTACTATTAGTACCCCATTTTTCAATAATACCCCATTTTTTGGGACCCGGGCGCCCCCTGGCCCAGAACCCGCTCGTCCCTTACTACTCACCTGCAATGAAAAGCAACATAAACAGGACAGGCACAGAGCCACGTACCACCGGCAAGAAGAAAAAGAACACCTGACGTCATTTCAAGGTTCAATAAGCACCCAAATCAGCCACACACAGAGAGAAAGAGATGCACACACGTTTACACAGGAACTCAAGAACCCAAAATAAATATTGCAAAGTAAGCGCCAGTGAGGTTGACGTTCTGCAACTAAAAGATAAAGGGTGAAACGACCGGGATCCTCAAAGGACACCGCCAAAGTCGTCAACAAAAAGGATGGCATATGAATCTGTTAACTTTCAGCACCAGGACATACATATCCTTGCATGTGTCCGTCAGAAAGAAAGGATTAGCAAGTTGTGCTCTAGATTTATGTCTGCAAAAATGAAATATTACCTTTTCATAAATGAAGGCAATGCCACTATAACAAGCAAGCATATTGGTGCATGCATGCGCTGACAGTTACAGACAGCCAGACAGACACAGACAGACCGACACACATCACACACAGTTACACTCTGTCACACACACATACACACACACATACAAACACACACACACACACCTTTGACCTTTGACGCCCATCGCCGGAGGGGATGATAGCAATGCTACGGCAGAAGCCACAGCAACTTGTGCTGGGATTGCACCATTCACCAGCTTGCAAGGCTGAAGAATTGCCCGTCACTATTCAGCCTGGCCTACACCATACAGCTATTTGAAGTGATTTTTTTCGGGCCAGTGAATCCCTATTTTTGGTCTTTTTCATGTTTTTCCCGCACACACATCACACCACACCCTCCGGCATGCACTGGCTGTTGGTAACCACCCAGGAGAATGAAAGAAAAGTCAGGAAGAGTCTGAGAAAGAGAAGAAAGACGCGTGTGACCATATTCGTCGGGAATCGAACCCGCAACCTATCGATTGGAAATCGCTGCACATACCACTGCACCATATGGGACACACACACACATACACATACACATACACGCACACACAACTCATTCATTGATATACCAATGAATTTTCACGGTTGTAGTACCTCAGGCCTGCGTCGTTTGGCTAACGGCTTCGTTTGGTCTTTTTGCTGAACAAATGCTGCCCTTTTCGTTGGTAACAAACGAATTGGACCATGCCTTGCAGGTCCAAATCTATGCTGTTGATTTGGATGATCGCGAGCATGAACCAAATGGTATCGGCTTTTGGCTCGAGTTGCTCTTCTCATATCCATTCTGGAGTCAGCGGCAGTCGAGTCGGTGGCAGCCCCTTGTGTTCGGGCGTGTCGCAGTCTTTCTTGAGAATTGCCAATAGTCCGGATGGTAGGGCTGCGCTGTGCACTGCTGTCACCAGGTATGGTTATCAGCAACTTGAAATCAGGTGGAAGCACCTGCGCTGGTCCAGCTGCAGAGTAGATAGGACAGTAAGGGTTAGCATCAATGATACATTGTCTTGATGCATGGCAAGCAGTATAGATACGCCGCATCCAGCAACATTGCGTTCACCATGAGCAAGAGTACGCAAGTAACCGGTAAAACGCAACTCCCGCAGCCCTTTCCGTACCAAGGACGTATAACATGTTTGTTTGATTTTCCTAATATTTCAGGTGAAATGGGCCTTGCGTTCACCGTGAGCAAGAGTACGCAAGTAACCGGTAAAACGGAACTCCCGCAGCCCTTTCCGTTCCAAGGACGTATAACATGTTTGTTTGATTTTCCTAATATTTCAGGTGAAATGGGCCTTCGTGCTTCATACAACTAACAGCAGTGTAGCAGCCATTTTGCCGTGCAGATTTCTATATACCTAAAAAACGTACCGCATACACACGCTATTATTGTGCACGAGGGCTAAGTACAGTCTTACAGCAAACAGGAAATGCTTACCTTTGACTGGATTTCCTTGGGGTGCAGTCGTAGTGGGTTGTACTTGGCCAGTTTGCAGAGGTGCAGCAGGACGGAGCTTCAAAAGCTTGAATGGGCAGAACGGCTTGATACACCCCATTAGCTGAGACTCCAAGTAGCATGGCATGCTGCCACGGTCATTCTGCAACACAGTCATCAAGAGCACATCGAAAATAAAGAATCTCAGAATGCATCACCGTGCTCTAGGCTTTCCCCAAATCGCGATTTTATCGCCTGATGGGCTTTTCGCTCGGCCCGAAAAATGACCAAAATTCATCAGATTCGGCTGACAAATCAGCTGATTGTTTGAATATTGGCTGCAAAATTGGAATATACTGGGCTCAGGTAGGGTTGGAATGATTGTGGATTTTCACCTTTCGATTAATGTTTAGCTTAAAGGTGGCGCTTCACCTTTCTGGCACCTTTCAGAGGGTCAAAAATCGAATTTTGACCCCATTTTCGCTTCCAGATCCTCCGGGTAGGTCCCAACCGCACATCCTGAAATGAATTGCTTCAGTAGTTTTTGAGATATGGACTTTCAAAGGCCGCTATTGTCAAAAATAGTAATTGTAAATTCAAAAATTCAAATTTTAACGCAGTAGAATTTACATTACACGTGTTTTGCATGTAACTTTGATTTCGCTGGCATTTTAGCGATGAAACTTCGCGGAAAGGCTGAACATCTCCCTGGTTTTACCTTGCTGCGTCCCACGCAGAGCTGACATCCCCATCGGCATCAGCAGTGCCAGTGCGCATGTCACCACACACAGTGCGCATGTCGTACTTCAAATTTTTGGTAAATATTTTTATACCAGCAATCTCCAATCTCAGCAATCTCCAAACTGTAGCTCTTTATCAGTTTAGCTGCTTTGTTGGCTTTCATCTGTTTTGTGGAACCTCCTTTGATCACTATGGGCAAGAGGCAATACGTAGGCCGTCCTGGTCGTCCAAAGAAGCGCAAATTCCATGGAAATCAATGCGCTAAATAATTTAATTGTCGAGTGAAATTACGAAAATTGTCGTGGCAGAGGACTCTTCTGTGTTGCCAGAAGATAGGGATGATGCCGAAGTTCAACAGTCTAATTCTGGTGAGAGTGAGACATCTAGTGGCAGTGACAGCGACAGCTCTGGAGATGACCATGATGATTACCTGACGACCGGGAGCCGAATTATTTATTTAGAATGTTTACAAAATTTACTTGCTGATAGTGCCTGTTGCTCAGCGTGCCATGGCACCCTTACACTATGTGAAGTACGTCGTGAAGGATTGGATTCAACTCTATCGCTGGCCCGTGACAGCTGCGAGGCTGAAAGCCGTGAAGCTATGTCCAAGAAGACTGGGCACTGCTGGGATGTGAACAGAAAGCCGGCTACTGCAATGACATGGATAGGACGTGGGCATCCCTTGTGAAATTCTGCACTGTGATGAATACGCCTGCACCCATGAATGTCTCTGCATACCAGAAGCACACCAAGGTACTAGCAAAGGCCGGTAGATTTGTTGCCACCAGCAGCATGAGTGTGCAGCTGCGAATGCCAAAGAGTTGGCGTCTTCCCCTGATATTGCGGTCACTTACGACGGAACGTGGATGCGAAGCGGCTTTACCTCCCTACATGGAGCGTTTCTTGCCATCTCGTGGGATACTGGCAAAGTCATCGACTATGAAGTCCTCTCCCGTCACTGCCAGCAGTGCACAATATTTCAGAGGAAGCTGAGCAAACATGAGATCTGCAAGGAGCAGTATACTGCCAACGTACGTGGACATGGCAATGACCTGCAAGGCATGGCACGCACGATATGGGCATTGGTTATGCATTGTGTGTTCAACAGATGACAAGCCGCAGCATCAGTTCTGCCCCCTGGACCAGCCTGTGTACTTGCGGCTGACTGAGAGGCAACGTCTCGAGAAATGCTTGCGTGGCGCTACTCAGAATCGGAACGAGTGCATCAATGGCCTCATTTGGCAGATTTGTCCAAAGACTGGCTTTTGCTTGTCAAGGACTGTCCAGACAGCTGTTGCCATAGCCACTGCTTGCTTCAACGAGAAGAACAAGGCCTTGGAGGAGATTCTTGATCCGATGGGCCTGACAGCTGGTCACTACACGCGGACAGCGCTTGAGAAGTTGGACCGTGAGCAAGCCAAGAATGCAGCCAGGAAATCCTCAGATGAAGTGAAGAGTGCAAGGCAGAGGCGAAGGAGAGTGAGGTAGGGTGTGGAGGAGCAGACTGTTGATGACAAAGGTCTCACCTATGAGACTGGGGCCTTATAAAAAGTAGCTGGCGTGGTGGACACAGATTGTAAATACATGCATTATACTGCAATTTTTCCCCTTTTTTGGCTATTACCAAAACTCTTAACCAGGCTACTGAGATAATCGTGGCCTGCAGACCCAGCAAAGTATACATTTTTGAAATCTGTGAAGCATTAGCTAGACATCGAACCGAAGTTTCAGAGGGTTGCTCTTCATATGCTCATGATAGCAGAGGTCAAACCTTTTTGTTATTTTTTGCGCTTATCGTTCTTTTTTTTCAATCTCCTCCACTTGCTGGCTTGTTTTGCTGATGTCCCCTTTCTTTGGTTCAATGTCTTGCCATGTGTGTGTGCGTGAGACACTGCAGTGGCACTCATTTTATGCATAGGACGCATGGTCTTCTATATTGTGGTTACAGGCGAACCTTTCGGCAGATTTTGCGAACAGATCCGTCACATGTATGCCAACACTAGATAGATGGCATCTTTGGCTTTATGTTTGCTGTTTCTGCAACGGGTATATCCAAGGAGTAAATGCTGAAATTTTTATAAGAATCTGTTAACCCATTGCTCAGATATGTGTGCTTGCGTGGGACGGTGCCGGAAAGGTGTAGCGCCACCGATTAATGATGGATTAAGGGGGCAGCCTACCCATAAATTTCATATGGCATTCAATTGACCGTAACTTTTTTTTCTCAATGGATTTGAGTGAAATTTTGACCACACACTACTGCCACTATGGTGGCCCTCAGGCCATGATTTACAAGTTCTTGCGCCTCACTGACAGGCTTTCCAGGCCGGAAAAACTCAAATTTCCGCCATAGTGCCACGGTGTGCGAGCCACCCAGGAGCCAAACACATGCATTTACAATTTTTTCACATTTTCGTGCCCATTCAGTCCGTGGGCGAGTCCCAAACCTAAAACAAGTCCAGAAGCAGCCATGGGGGGTGGGATAGAGCTCCTCAACGTGGCCCTGGAATCTTTCACAACGGAACGAGTGGGCGTTCTCTCACAGACTCCCACAGACCAAAGTAAATTAATATTTTTAGGTTTAGCACGTGCTACGAGGTCGTACCTTTCATACAACATCCAGTGCTGGGAAGTCCACAGCAAGCTCTTTCCCGTTTTCTGTCATCTCAGTACGACAGCTTGCCAAGAGAAATTGTAAGGGCTCCACTCAGCTTGAAGCGGCTCCATACGTTCAAAGGAGATGTCCATAAGTACCTCACGCACCAACACTGGCTGATGGCTACCGACTTCTACGGATGAACTCTTGATTATGGCACGGGTCGTGTTCCTTGGTTCGGCTATGCTGGTGATATTGGGCTTCATTTACCTTTTATTAGTTAATTTTTTATTATTAATTTTTTATTTAGCTTGTTTTGCTTGTTATAATTTCTTGGTTTTCCACCCGGTTTAGTTATAATTTAAATTATTATTTGGTGCAGCTTTAGCGCAATGACTGTGGTTTATGATTTTTCTTTTTCTTAATTTCGTATTTAGCGCTTTGGGGCGTCATTATTTTCTTCTTATTATTTCGCACCAAGTTATTATTTTTGTGGTATTCTCTAGCTTCTCTTTGTTTTGCAGTTGTTCTTGTGCAACCCCCACCCATTTTTCGATGCCTAGTTGCAACGCTGATGCCGAGACCTCTGGTCGGTTGAGTTGCTCCCAGCACATCAGCACGTCGTCCCTACATCCCCTATGTTTTGTCCTTTTCCTCGTTTCCTTTTGTTCTCCACCTGTTTTCCAGTGGCGCTGCACACCAAATCCTGGATACCCTCAGAAACCGGCAAAGACTACCACTCACGTTCCACTACTGCCTAGTACTGAATCCTACCTCACTTCTTGACACGACTCAAACTTGCCAAAGTCACTAAATCAACGTCAACTACAATAATCAAGCCACATATCTGCAACGTCACGAGGGTGCTGGCAAAAGTCCTGCTGCACGGCGCCAGCTGCAATGTGGCAGTCTACCAACAAATTCGCTCTCTTTTTTCCACAAGCTATTACTTCACAATACGAACAAATTTCCAGGGGTGAAAGGGTAGCTCCAAAACATGGCAGTTTTGAAGGCAATTGACCTTCAGGATATGGACTATGCCCCTGGCAACTGCGTAGTGCGTACTCACAGCGGCAAGTTATTCAAAATCACCAAAACGTGGGTTTTCAAAGTCCCTAACGAAAAAACCTATAACGTAACGATTTGTTGATTGGAGTTATCGATCGCGTAATGAGTAATGGGTATAATTGTTTCAGCCGGAATTGCTATACTTGTTTCAGCTCTAGTTGAAAATACAATGTAGGCTATATGAAGTGTTGGCATATTGGCTTCAAAATTGGTGAGATAATGGAAGATTTGGTAGATTCTCGGCGATTCTCTATGGAACTCTCCAAAATCGGCGAAAAGCTTAGCGATTTCGACCTCTCAATTAACATATCAGTTTTGTGTCCTGTTACAGCACTTTCTGACATCTTATTTAAACTTGTTACAGTCGTGGATCGTTGCGTCGTACATGTAAACCGTTCCCATGTAACTTCTTCTTTTTTTAATTATATGTACTCTAAGTATTGGCTCAGTATCCGAGACATTTAATAATAATAATAATAATAATCCAAAGGTTCAGTTGGGGAAGTGAACTGCCTGAAAAGAGAAAAAATCGCCAGACCCACCAAGACTCGAACCCGCGAACTTGCTTGTCGTGAGCAATGCTCTAACCACTAAGCTATGGAACCGGGCTGAACCTAGTAGGCTCTGACAAGTCACTCCAAAGGCAGCTAACACCACGTGCCACACATACGGATGGCACTTGGGTCTTTCTCCCTCCCCAGGAGACCAACCACGGTCAGTTTCTGGACCCTACCAGAAAAAAAGGCAAGAGAGTGTGCAGGCAAAGCAACCACACAGGCTCGCTATACTTACATGTATTGCCATGTGGCGACGTGGACAATTCGGAACAATACAGCTTCCTCTGGCCCAATCTTGACAGACGTCTTCCTTGCCAAGTGCAGGGGCACTGTGTCGGAATGAACAAGTGGGACCCTTCTTGCAGCTCGAGTAGTAGAAGAAGTAGCAATCATTACCAACTTGAGCCATCTGTTGTTCAAACATTATTTTGTTGAAAAGAAACACAACAGATTCAACACCAATTAACTATAAAAATTGATGGATGAGGATACATGTATCTAAAATGGTTGTTCCTAATCGATTTTCTTGAGACTATCATCAGGGAAAAATTCGTCTCACAATAGAGGCTATACGGAGAAACAAACTACTTATAGGTTATCGGATAGTGGGAAGTATACAAGGTGAGGTGTGAAAAACAAAACTAACTAAAGTGAGACGAATTTTTCCCTGATGATAGTCTCAAGAAAATCGATTAGGAACAACCATTTTAGATACATGTATCCTCATTCATCATTTTGTAATGTCCGCTTCACTTATACTATTAATCGCATTAATAAAGTTATTGTCTCCTCGTCGCCTTCACTATAAAAAAGATTGAACTGGCGATGTAGGTTTTGTCGCCTCATGACTCCGGTTTGGGGCAAGATATTCCTTCCAAATTTTAGATTATGATCCTCTGTCCAGTCGTGTTATTTGTTGGTAATATTTCCAATTTCAGGGCTCACCACTACCATACAAAATTCAAAAAGCGTCGACCACAGTTTTGAAAAATGGCGATGGCCCCGAAACCAGAGCTTGTGCCGATCGATGTACGCGATGTACAGTCGAGTCCTAAATTACAGTTATTTTACGACTCCCTGGTCAAGTCTGCACAGCAAAGCGCCAGAGCCAAAGCAAATCTTGTTGTTCAATGCCGGTAAAACACGCGGAGAAGAAATCCTTTCTCCAAGACAACTTTGGTCATTTTTCTCAATCCGCTGGTGAATGTCAACCTAGATAATATGTCCTTGAGGTATTGGCGAACTGGGTTCCTGCCATCTACACGATAGAACTCAGCGTTTCCTGATCACGGCTCGACACACTGTTTTCTGTTTGGCCTCGCAGCTTTCACTCTGCGAGTGTGCAGTTTCCTGGCCACAAATGAATTCCTTAGTCATGACCATGATGACAAGTGACTGGTATGATCCCTGATGGACCTGAGTCATAAGCTTGAGTCAACACGAAGGTAAACTGTTCACTTGGAACGCTTGCTGCTTCCTCAGTCCATTCTTGTTGCACTAGCAGATATGCGTACGAGAGGACCCAAACAGACACTATTAGATACTGAGATATGGGATAGGTGGTCTCCGGTCCGGGATGGACAGTGAGACTCTGATACAGAGGGGCAAAGAGAGAAAGAGAGTGAGAGAGAGAGAAAGAGATAGATAGCGAGAGAGAGACAGACACACACACAGACACAAACAGAGAGAGAGAGAGAGAGAGAGATAGATAGAGAGAGAGAGAGAGAGAGAGTGAGAGAGAGAGAGAAGGAGAGAGAGAGAGAGAGAGAGAGAGAGAGGGAGAGAGAGGGAGAGAGAGAGAGCGAGAGAGAGAAAGAGAGAGCGAGAGAGAGACAGAGAGAGAGACAGAAAGGCAGAGACAGAGAAGGAAAGACAGAAAGAAAGAAAGAAAGAAAGAAAGAGGGGTGAGAGAGAGTGAGAGAGAGAGTGAGAGCTAGAGTGAGAGACAGAGAGAGAGAGAAATTGAATGAGTCAGAGAAAAGAAGAGCGGGAAGTAGAGAGAGATAAAGAGAGAGAGAGAGAGAGAGAGAGAGAGAGAGAGAGAGAGAGAGAGAGGCTCAGTGAGAGAGAAACTCAGATAGGGAATAAGACAGCAGTGAGAGAGGGAATGTGTAAATATAATGCCAGAACAAGCGAAAAGGGACATTATCCCGAACTTTGGGCATTTTTTGAGTTATCAACAGATTCTAGTAGCCAGAAGATGTACAAATCACATAGAAAAAACCAATTGGAAATCCATCCACGGATAGCAAAGTTATGGGCACTTCGTTGACGGTGAAACGTTTACGGTAGCTCATGGTGAGTAGTCAACCCGCCAACCCAAGGACTCAGGGAAAAGCGAAGGGAGCAAGGCAGCTGCGCTGAAAGCAAGCTCCTTTGTCTTTTACGCTCGGGCATGCTGCGCGTGCAGCGGAGGTCGCGCGGTCGATCGATCGATATTTCATCGCCAATGCGTGGTATGTGGGTCGATTAAGACAGTGTTTTCTTCTACACGAGCTGTGGGATGCTGGCTCTGCTACCCAAAGAGTGAATTAGTTCCAAAGAAAGCACGTATCATCGAAAAACGCACAGTTGCAAGTCATCCGAACGTGACAGCCGGAAATCAGCTGATTTACTTCAAGTGCGATTTTCTCAAAATCAAGTGCCGCGGGATAACGTCCCTTTTCGCTTGCGCTGGCTAAATAATTAAATAAAATTTAAAATTAAAATAAAATAGAAGAGTGAAAGGATGAGGGGAACAGAGAGAAACACAGAGCGGAAGACAGAGAGGGAGAAAGAGGACAATGGGGAAAGATAAAGATATAGGACAAACACCTTGAAAGAAGGAAGATAGACAAACAGATACTTACAGTAAAATTCACAATTCCCGTCCGACTTCAGACCGAGAATCGTATAATCCCAACTCTTCTGCAAGGACGATACTTAGCAAGGCGCTAGAAGGATCTACACAGAGAGAACCTGATTCTGATATCTGTTGGGAGACGGCGACTCACTCAGGCACGCAAATAATCAATCTCTGGTGGGAAGCAAGGTGTTTGAAGGAAGATGCTAGAAAACCAACCGGTGACAGAAACTTATCGTGCAGAACTGACTGGAGACTGTAGCAAACCTAGGGTTTTTATACATGTACCCACGCTACGTGACGTCACACTGTGGGTGGTAATTGGCTGCTGATTCGTCAGCGTGTGGTATATAGGGGACTCCGCGATGACACTAGACTTGGGCTTCAATGTGAAGGACCCCACGATAGGCGGTCTGCCTTTGGGTCATCCTAGTTGTTACGTGTAGAAGAGGTCACCGGCGTATCACTTTAAAATCGAAGGACATGTAATTATTAGGTCTACACTCAGATGGACAGCCAAGGATAATATATAAAAAGTAAAAAGGACGAAGGAACTACAAGTGCCTCATTTGACTGGATGTGTGTGTTTGCGTGGGTACTTGCGACCTCAAACCTACCTCAAACGTTATTTTTATTACTCATAACAGGGTACCTCACTTCAGACTCTCCAACTACGATTTTTTCGCTGCATGAGTTCTCTCTTTGTTTCTCTCCTTATTATTCAGTTCGCCGTGGTTAGCTACCACCCGAACAACTCCCAATGCACAACACCACTCGCCACAGAGATAGACAAGTCGAGGTAGCTGAATGTGTGCGAGGCATTCTCCTGGGTGTGTTCCAGTGTGAAACGTATGTCTGGGTGTCTGCTGCTCAAGACACACAAGAACACACTTCGCCATTGCTGCTGGTAACCACACTTCTCGTGCTTTCCCTTCACGCCGCACTAACACATATTCACACTTACAGACACAGCTCTTCACTGGTCTCCTTCGCTCCTTCCCTTTCTACCAACACACTTCACCATTGCTGCTACCCTACACACATACAAACATTTCCAGCACTACCGCACCACACAGCATAATTATATACTCGGTTCAGTTTTTGTTGGCTTTTAAGTTGATTGGTTTTTCACCGTGAAGATGGGCCATGCCCGAAAATTTGGTGCATTCCATTTATATCTAGTATTATTTATTTATTTTGGAAGTGAAGTGAACTTATGCAGCGAAGAGACCGTAGTTGGAGAGTCTGAAGTGAGGTACCCTGTAATGTGTGAGTGGCTGCAATGGAGTCTGCGAGTGCTTAGAATTATTATTATTATTGTTGTTACTATTATTTTTAACCCCTTGACTTGAGCGCGGATGACTTGTACTAGTGCGTCATAAGACCCACCCAGTAGTGCCTCACGGATGTGCTTATATTATTATTATTACTGTATTATTATTATTATTTAAATAGGCGTCGAGGCGACAATAGTTTTAGAATTGCGATCAACAGAACGAGCTGAACCGACATTTTCACAAAGGCTTTTATTGTATTCAAAAAACGAGTGTATACGACGGCAGTGAAGAACATGGAAGAAAGAAAAAATGTGATGTGGAAGAAATGATGAACAAAAATTGTACTTCGAACTAGTTTTCGCACAACACTCCTCAGGAAGCTACGTTGTACTAATGAAAAACAATCCAGAAAGATACTAATAAAGAGAAATGGAGTGAGAAGAAACAACACCTATGAAAATGATAATCCTAGCACTAAGGTAATAACAGGAAAAACTGCGAAAGCACTTAACGAACTTGTAAGGACTACTAGTATACTGTGACACAAGATATGACACCATGGCCAACCAGAGCCAAACCGACAGAACAAGTTGCTACTAAAACAATTTCAAACGAATAATGCTGTCCTTCTGGACACACAGATTAGGCTTATGAATACGTTGACAAACGGCTTCTAACACACTCAACTGCAACTTATAACCATGACGAGCACGGCACAAAACAGAAAAAGAAGAATCAGAATAAACCTTACAACAATCAGGACGAGATGCAAGATGCTTATACACTGATGACTTCCTACTAGAAAACACACGCTCGCACCCACTCTTACTCACACAATCATTCTCGCTCTCACACTCACCGGAATCACTGGACTCACTGGCCGAATCCTCCTCAACGACTTCCTGCCTCGGAGCAATCAGGTCCCGTCTCCTCCCATCCCTCGTCTCACGTTCCTGTTGTGTATTCCGTTGGTTCGGTACTTCCGTACTGAAATAGGTCATGGTGTAATTAGCAGTTGTTCTTCTGGGTCTCGTTGATATTGAGGTAGGTATTGTTGTCGTCTCTGCCGGTGATGCAGCAAGCGATGCTGATGCAAACGTGTCTGCATGCAACACACGTGGCGTCGCCAAAGCCACATCCACCTCCGCTGGTGGAGGGAGTGACTTGGTCATGGCCACGGGAGCCAATGGTGGACTTGTCGAGTGAGACGC